TGGGTGGTTGTCCGAATTATGGTCCCTTTTTGGATCCCTATTGTAATACGGCACCTAATATTTAGGGTACCCAAAAAAGGACCATAATTCAGGGCCTAAGGGTCATTTTACAAGCGTGAGATTAAATTTGAAAAAAAGAGAGATTATGTGATTACTAAGAATAATGGAAAAGAAAATGAAAACTACTCTTTTGAGTTTAGGGTTTTTGTTTTTAACGCCCCTTTTACCCTCCGCTTACAGTCGGGCAAAGTTCCTCAGGAACGGGCAAACTCCACACCATTGTGAGTTTAGGGTTTGGGGCCCAGGGTCTAGGGGTTTGGGACCCCTGGGATATTAAACCCTTACCTAAAACCTGAAACCTAAACCCTAAAACCTAAACCCCTAAGATCATTTGGGGCTTCGCCTTTTCAGGAGTTTAGACGATAGCTCATATGGGGTCCTCCGAGTAAGTGCTAAATGTTACCCACTGCCAAGGTAGGGCACTGTGAAGACGTCCGTGATCATTGTTCCGCACATGCCCATAAACGGCTGAATACCTGCGTTTGCAAGTTGTACACAAGTATCAACCCTGAAAAGCTTAGCTAGACAGTTCTCTTCGATTCAATTCCGTCCACATTTGGTTATGTTAACATGGCCACATAAAACCTGCAACCAGTAAGATTGCACCAGCTGCCGATAGCCCGCGCTGATGCAAAGTCGAGCCACCTTAGCAATGGCATGCAATGCATGCAATGGCGATCAAATTTAGCCCCACATCTCCAGCTTTTCTTTTCTGATTACCCACTGCATGAAGACAGGACAACAAGGGCGACTAACTCAGAAGAGCGGCAGCAGCCGTATCCTGGCCACGGGTTGCTCCACCAGCGCGCACAGCGTGCGCATGATGGCCGGGCCGATCATGAAGAAGAGCAGGATCGGCTTTCGGCCAAAGCGGTCAGACATCTTCCCGAAGACGGGGCTCAGGAAAAACTCCGCTACGCTGCCAAGGGAATAGGCAGTTGCAAGGCCGCTCGTGGCTTGCACCACCGCAGCGTCCCCAAGCGGACTGGCTGTCTGCGTTATGAGCAGCTGTCGAGCCTGCAGGGTTGCGATGCCGGCGCACGATATCGCGGACGCGGTCGCCCGAAGCATCAGCATGAAGTGCTGGCTCTCCGCAGATGCCGCAGCATTCCGGCCTTTCATCCCTGAAAAGCCCGAAGCCATGGCCACCTACGGCCCGCCCACGGCCTGCCCCTCACAGGGCTTGAAGCAAACGCTGACGGACAAAAACAAAAGACCTCCCATCCAATGGCTCAGCCGCTAGCTGCTAGGAGCAAGACGATCACCACGCCCATTTTACAGCGGTGTGGCCTTAAGAGTCGCAGCTCCTCCCAACCACCACAGCTGCATCCCTTTAGCTACAGCTTGTGCAGGCCAGTCAACGCTACGTGAAAGAACTGCCTCATCCGGCACCTGGAAGCTTTCCACCGCATCACGGGAGCCCATCAAAAGTCCACCCCGGCCTTCCAAGGCCAAAACACTTACCAGCTCCCCACCTCTCTTTGCTAGCTCGGAGCCAATCTCCGAAGTACCCGAAACCTGCAGTTCAAAGGACTCCTTGCTTGCGCTAAGGTGGTCCAAGGATATCCTGCGCTGGTGCCCCACACCATAACCACCTGAGTCCCGGTGCTCATTCAGCCTGACTGGTGCCAACGGCATGCCTTCCAGAACTGGGACTGTCGCAGAGCAACCCAAAAGAGAACATTTCAAATGTCCCGTCATGTCATCGGGACCTTCCATTGTATGTTGAAAGAACTCGTAATGCCACTTCTCCGGAATGACCTGATCCATCACCGGCTCCACGTTGCCTGTTCCTATGGAGAGGCTCGCGCTGGTGTGCTTTTCGTGCACCACTAGAGCTCCAGCCTCCGCCGGCAAACGCTTCACGATCTCTGCTTCCAGCTGGGTCGCATTCCTTGCAGCAGCCATCACGGAAAACTCCTCTCGTTGAGTTGACGCGCGATAGGTTACCTCAACCTCAACGGGATCAGTGCACCCACCACTTCGCAGATCAATCAAATAGATGCCCTGCCAGGTTCCCATGCTGAAACGGCCGGATGAGCATGGCAGTGTCAGAGACTTCCGGAAGAGCAAGGACTGAGCTGCACCTCAACCCACAGGCTTGATGTAGGCCAAACAGCCTGACAGTGGCATTGCATCCCGACCTGGTGGATGAAGTCGAGGGATCGCTGCAAGATGATCCGTTCGCACGTCTGGGTCGGCATTCTCATTCACACCTTAGCTGCCGAACAAGCCGCACTTGGAGACACTGGATCCTCAAAACGCCCAGCTGCTGAAAGACACCCCGTCTGCGGGCTTGACGATGCACAGGTTGACAATGCCAGCTCCTACAAGATAGGTCCCTTGAAAGGAGGTTATGTAAGGCTATGGAGGGGTATCTAGCATTTAGGGTTTCCATCAGCTAGTGAGTGTCCACAAATCTTCAGGAAGGCTGCAGTTGCCAATGCTGTCGCTCCTCGACCACACCCCTTCAACAATGGCCCATTTTCTAAGAGCCTTGGTGAACCAAGCAATCATAAGCAAATCATATCTTCGTGGGCCAACAGCACAGTCCATAAATTGCAGAACCAGAAGCTGGATACTGCCGGCACGGGATGCAAGTTGAAGGAGGACCATGATGGCTATCGCAGCTGAAAGCCACGTTGCCAAAAGAGTTCTGCAATTGCGAGAGATGAAACACGGGCTTGGGTTCGTGCAGTTCAAGCCACCATGATGAGTTCTTGTCCCGTGAAGCTTGCCTGTAAACATTCTGAGCCAAAACGTGGACGCCGGATGCAGCAAAGATCATCAAAGCAGGTGCTGCAGCGTTGCAGAGGGTCCGGCTGCTCATGGGGCCTATAGCTCATCCTTCCAGCTTTGCTGTATAAACAACTGCCCATCTCACGAGCATACTTGTACGCTACTGCAATTTCTGACGGCTCGCGGCAAGTCCCAGCTGACCACATGCTGCTGACCATGAGCGGCCAAGCTTTGTCGAAAAGCGGATCGTGACATTTGGAGCACCCAGACTTCGTAGCTTGTCACGGAAACGCTTGCAACTGAAGTCAGACGGAGGCTCATAGCCACTTGCAGCTCCAGCAGTTGTGGGATTGTAAGGAATCAGGTTGATGCCTGCACAACGAAGCCGCTCGCGCACGACGGCCTCAGCCAACGCGCTCGCCTGCTCATCGCCATCGTTCACGTCACGGATGAGGATGTACTCAAGAAGGACACCGGTGCCCGTGGCTGCTTCATACTCCCGAACACCTGAAAACACCTCTACGAGGCTCCAGGATTTGGAGGCCACGGGGAGAAGCTTTTCTCTGAGCTCCTGCGTTGGAGCATGCAAAGACAAAGCGAGATTTAGTCCAGGCGGGGCTTCTTTGGCCAGCTTTCGAATTTGAGGCGCAACTCCAACTGTGGAGAGTGTCACTTTGTGCCCAGAGGAAAGGAGCATCCTTGCAGCCTCCAACACATTTGTATAGTTCAGGAGGGGCTCACCCATGCCCATGAACACAACGTTGCTTGCCCTCTGACTGCCTTCGCGCTGGAGCCACGCCTCTGCATGCAGCACTTGCTCTAAGATGGCCCATGCAGGAAGGTTGATTCCACGAGAGTCACCCTGTTGGCGGATTAAGCCTGTATCGCAAAAGCGGCATGCCATGGCGCAACCACCCTGTGATGAGGCACAGATCGTGCCTTGAATTGGCTCACTTGCCCGTGTCTTTGGAACGATAATTGCCGTCTCAATCTGCAGTCGGCTCGGAAGGGAGATCAACAGTTTGCCGCCCCCAAAGCTGGCGCCGCCCTCGGATCGAAGCACGCGGCTGGCCAGTCCACAGCCGGAGTTTTGGGTTGCCTTCAGCACTTCAGATGCCGGTCCCCAATCCAAAGCAAGATTCCAGTTATCTTGGTTCCGGGAGTAGAACTCTGCATGCTTCACCAAATGATTCCAGATATTCTTTTGGCATCCTGAAAGGGAGACACGCTCCAAGCACTTCATGTCCAAGACGCTGCCCGCAACTGACTCAAATCTGCGCTTGTTCCATAGCCCTCCAGGCACTGCTAAGCCGGCCCTGAGGCCTGTGCGCATGCCTGCTACATCACACTCCTCCACTTGCATTACCAAACAACATCCGTGTCGAAGAGCTGGCTTGCTTTCATTACATCCGGGTTGAGATAATAGCAGTAATAATTGCAATAGGGATAATGATAGTAATAATTGTAATAATTCTAAGAAGAAGAATGATATTAATAATAGCAAGCATAATAATAGTAATCTTGATAGTAGTCTGTCAAGAGAGGTTCTTTGGAATCTGAGGTCACTACACAAAACAACAGAAGTGGGCGAATAGGATGGAGCTAGTAGTTTCCATTTTGTTTTCCATTATCCCTATGAATAACCCCGATATACTATAGTAGCTTCCGTTTTCTTTTATATGTTCCCTATACAACCCCTATATAATCCCAATAATATAGTAGTTTCCATGTTCTTTTCCATTATCCCTATAGTGATGCTTTGTTGCTCGGGCCTTGGGGTCGCAGCTGGCACACCTCTGATTCGCACTGCTTGCTCCAGCAGGCTATTCTGATACTAATTTGGGGTTATACAGGGGTGTATAACGGTATATAGGGGCATATAGGGTTTAGGGTGTAGGGTTTCCCAAAATTGGGGGGGGTCTATTTTGGGGTTCCCAATAAGAAGGAGTATAGTCTTTTGGGATCTATATTGGGGCCTCCCTATTCACAGAAGCTCTCATATCCGATTTAAGCCTGTGTTGGGCCTCGGGAGTTTGCGTTGCACGAGATCCCACCTTGAGGAAGATAGACAGAATCTGCAAGACAACTTAACCCTAAACCCTAAACCCTAAACCCTAAATCCTAAACCCTAAACCCTAAACCCTAACAGTGCAACATGCAGCAGGCAAGAGCTGATAGCAAAAAGCAAAAATTTGGTAGTTTCCAAAATGCTTTAGGGTTTAGGGTTTAGGGACCCCCATATAGACCCCGAAATACTATAATCCTCGTGGTTGGAAACCCCAAAATGGCACCCCTGATTTTGGGAAACCCTACACCTTATATAACCCAAATATCACCCCGTATAACCCTAAATAGCCCCCAAACCCTAGATATATGCGTCATCTCCTTTTTACCCATAACGCTAGGTCTGCATCTGCATGGTCAGCAGCAGACCTTTGCCGGGCTCAAAGCCTTGGGTTTTGCAGATTCAACAGCTACAACAATGATGGCCATTACTATTACTACTGTTGATATTAAAAAACCTGCATGACCTGAATATACTACAGTCCCATTATTCCCAAGGTATTAGGTACTTAGGGTCATGCAGGATTTTTAGTATCCACCGTATTTCTGTTGGGGTTTAGGGTTTAAGGTTTTCGATAAAGCATTACTATGTCAATGATGGTCATTACTATTAGGTTTAGGTTTAAGGTTGAGGGTATAGGATTACTATTTCTAAAATTTATGCGACTTCTGTTCTTACTATTGTTAACATTTTTGATATGACAATTGTTGCTCCTGCTCTTTAACTAGTGGTACGATTAGTACCTTGTGACTATTAGTACTATGACAACTCGTGCTATTATTACTACTATTGCTACTATTTGGAAGATTACCATCATGACTAATTGAACCCTTGCTATTGTTACTACTGTTCCTACTATTACTACTATTGAAACTATTACTACAATGACTACTGTTACTACGACTATTGCTATTGCTATTTTTGTTTCTATAACAATTATTACTACTGTTGTTATGATGTGCCGTGACAGGATGAGGCCCAGACCCTTCTTTTGGACTTTGACTGGAAGTCCGCGCACAGCATTTTGTTCAAATCCTGGACAGTCACATGAGTTTGTGGCCTGAGAAATTATTACTTAGAAATGTAACAAAAAGAACAATGATACTTGTGATAGTTGGAATAACAGTAAGAAAGAATCATAAGTAAGAATAATAGAAATAGCAAGACTACTGATCATAACAATTAACTGCAGCAGCTAGGCCGAAGGCTCCTTGTGCGAAAAGGAACCGCGGTAGAAAGCCCAGCAACGGCTTTTCATCTTGATGTCTGAACACATGCACGAAGACTCCTGGCACCAGATAACCAAATGCAGGTCCCCGTCTACGAAGTGGCCATATGCTGGCTGCTGCTAGGAATCCTGAGGGAAGGAAATCTGCAACTTGGCCAGAGAAAGTAATGCCGGTTGGCAAGCTCTCCAACATCTCGGGGTCGCGGTTAACGTCCTGTGTCGCAGCAGAGCACTTTCAGGAAGATAATTGAAACAACAAGTTCAACGTGTGCGCGTGGATTGCTGCACTGGCATGCTCAATCTGGCCATAGGCACTGTGCATGAATGCAAGGCTTGCACCCTCTCGCCCACACCGATTCAATCCCCCCTCCACCACCCTTCAGCCCATCTCGGTCTGTCCCCAACCTAAGATCCCCGGGCGCCAAACCCATCTCCTGGTTCTTGGTTCTGCAGCCGGTACACGGAGCTTGCAGTTCTTCAGGATTGAAGGACTTTACTGCAATAATGGAGAGTCAAATGGAAAATCAAAAGAACAATGAAATTGACAATTGAGCTTCCTAGAATCCCCCTTGATCACCTCCATAATACTAGTTCTATACTCCCCGATATGATCCCCTATATAACCACCCAGTATAGCTCAATTGGGGTAAAGTTGCAGAACCCTACTGTGAATCTCACCATGTTGTCAGTCATGTCTACCTAGATCAGTTTGTGTACAGTTGGACCTGAATGCCGCAGGCGCCTTGAGTCAAGCCCTAAAAGGTTTCGCAGTCTTCTTGTAACTATCCTATTATTACCGATACTGGTAGCGGAGCAGGTGACAGCACCTGCATCCGGTAGGGTAGGTACTGTCTTGTGTTCTAGGGCTGGGCGAGCCCTGATCGACCCGTAATTCGCCCCCTGGGTTATTCGTAGACTACTACCCAGGCTTTTATTAGCCATCAGGCCCAAGCAAACACAAGCAGGATGGTACAAATATAGAAGCTATCGGCAAGAACATATATGAGGGTTCCCATGAATTAGGGGTCCCTGTTTGGGCATACCTATAACCAGGCCTATAGTATGTTTGGGTCTATACTCACGTCCCCCTGTTTACGGAACCCTCAAAAAAATGACCCTCTAAGGTCGAGCCCCAGCCCGGCCGGAGACCCCGCCTGCTTGTAAAGGCGAGGAGGTCGCGTGAGATCTCCCGAGCGCCGAGTCAGAAAGATAGCGCCATTGTCTCCAACCTCTACAGGGACTATAATGGGAACCCCAAACAAGGAATCCCTATTCCTGTTGTATTCCTACTATATTCTTGGGGCATTGTCTCCAAGCTCCACTGCATTCAGGCAAGAGGCTGGACATAGTTCAGGGTAGAGCGGCGTGCATTGCTGATATGGGATCCCTTCAGCTCAGTCCCCTATCCACGAAGGAACACTGCCAGCATGCGTAAAGTGCTCAACAGATTTGTGGTCTGCCCACCTCCAAGACACGTGCCTGCACCATGTGCTGCCTTTCGAAGATAACCTCCGCAAAAGGATGATAGGACTGGAGCCTCTACTCATGATCACCCCAGGAGCATCTCAACTCTTTTGATTGTAAACCACCTGAAACAGCTCCAAGCAATTCCAAACGTAAAACACATGATGCATCTGAGTAGAATAGAATCTCACTCGAGGTTGTCCTGCTGTCTCTTCCCAAGGCTGGGCAGGTAAACCCAACTGATCCTATACGAGCTATAGTCCTATGTCCTAGAATCCCCCTCAATAACCCTGTGTAATACTCCCCTATATAATCCCCTTTACAGCCCCTAACCCCCATAAAGGAGTTTAAACTATCGCTCATATGACGTTCCTCAGAACTCCCTGTTTTGACCGTTGCCATTCCTGGGTTCAGGAGGGTAACACTTAGCTTACTGGTTGCTAGTAGGGAATATAGGAGCTTTGATGTAGGGCTTAGGGTTTAGGGAATATAGTCCCAACCCGAAACCCTAAACCCTAAACCCTAAACCCTATATCATCCCTATGTAATATCTTCCCGTATTCCCTACTAGCCACCAGAAAGTTGGGGCAGTGGGAAAACAAGACCACATCGCTTTTGCGGTTTAGGGTTTAGGGCTTAGGGTGCCAGAGGAGGGCGGTCTAAGACTGACTAAGCATCACTCGTGCGATTCATCACACACCATACCAATGTTTTTTTCTCGGACCTTTTTCCAACTGCCGATGGAGCTGGAAGACCTACCAGTAGGGTTTAGGCTTTAGGGTTTAGGGGTACCATTCCCCTCAATCAGCCCCTATGTGCTCCATCTTAATATAACTTTATTCTCTTGCAAGCAGACATCCCCCATCATCATCCCTGAAAACCATTTCAGGAAATATAGACGCTGCTGCTGCACTCGAATTCTCACGCGAATCGTAACCCTAAACCCTTAACCCATTACTTTGGTAGATACTAAAAATCCCGCATGGCCCTAAGTCCCAAATTCCTTGGTAATTAAAGTACTATATTTTAGTAAGGTCATACAGGATTTGCAATATCAAGAGTACTCTGAGCCTTCGGGGACGCTCCCGGAAAGCCATCTTCGATCTCGCTTAGCTCCAGCCGTGCATCCCTGTCATGGCTGATGGTCTCAAGCCACACACATGTATTAGCAGTAGTATTCCCCGTTATTGCTATGATTGCGATTATGACTCTTATTACTGTTATAACTACTGTGACTACTGTTACACTTATCAGTACCAGTGGTAGATAGTGGTGGTGGGTGGTATAGTAGCAGTAGCAGCAGCAGCAGCAGCAGGAGCAGCAGGAGCAGTGGCGGTGGTGGAAACAATACTGCAGCGGCCGCTGTGAGACAGCAGACTCAGCATCACGGCGTACGACTAAGCTGAACCACCTACATGTTTTTCTTCGATCAGCGAATTTCATCTACTTGACAGAGATCATAGAAGGTTGTAGGCGGAATCCAAACCCTAAACCCTAAAGCTTATGTCTGCCTTCATATATCCCCATATCACTCCATAATATCCCATACTACTAGTAACAATAACAGTAATAGTAACCATAATGAAAACAATACTAATAGTAGCGTCCTTGTCATTTTCCATGTCCTCTGCCATTTGATTCTCCATTCTTGGGGACAACATCGATAAGCCTGAGCCCTGAACCCTAAACCCTAGACCCTAAACCCTAGACCCTAAACCCTGTATATCCCTGTATCCCCATATAACCCATTCTTTTAACTGGGGAAAAGGTGATGCTTAAGACCGTTTCAAAGGGAGCAACAGAACTAAACCCTGTGGGAAGCAAAGGGTCCCGGATACTAAACCCTAAACCCAAAACCCTAAACCCTAAACCCTAAACCCTAAACTCCGAGGAGCGGTCCGCTCCGCACCGATGTCCACAAAAACGAAGCTGCGCCAGGCTTCCCTGCAACACATTAGGGTTTGGGGTTTATTAGGGCCATATTATTTAAGGTTTGGGCAAAAATGGCATGACTCATATGAGCTACAGTCTAAACTCCCTAAAGGGGGTTATATAGGGGCTTATATAGGGGACTACCATGGGGGATATAAAGGGGGATACTAGGAGTTTAGACAGTAGCACACATGTTTTTTTTTGGCCATGTGTTTAGGGTTGAGGGTTGAGGGGTTGGGGCCTGGTATTCAGGATTGAAGGTTTGGGGTTTCGGAGGTCCAGAATTATTTCTTCCGCCATGGGCGTATGCCACCCTGCGGCTTTGCCTCACAAAGCCTCGAACTTCGTCTCCAACCTGTCCACACAAGCATGCGGAGGCAAAGCAAACGTGCACAAGAGGTGGCACAAAGCACCTGGACAGTCTTGCTGGCATCTTTCAGGCCCAGTGACACCTTGACTTTTCAGCTGAATCACTCGGTTTCAAGCTATTGCGGACTTCTGGCCTTGGGCTGGACCGCTGGCAGTGGAGGCCCCTCATCCGCTGTTACCGGCCTGAATGCTTCTGCACTACCACGGCTGCTACTACAGGAATGCTGCAAACATAACTGCCGAGCACAAGCAAATGGTAGTTTCCCAAAATAAGGGGACCCCAATATAGACCCCAAAATATTGTAGTCCTTATTATTGGGACCCCCAAAATGGTACCCCTAATTTTGGGTAACCCCTGCATCTAGCCTGTTATGTGACCAGGAGAAGCAGCGCCCTGCCAGGACTGCCAGAATGGATGCGGCTGCGGCCACCACAGCCACTGCAATTCGCCCACCGGGAGCTCTGGCGCGCAAGGCTTTGGCGCGCATGAGTAGAGCTGCGAGCTAAGCAAACCGGCAGGTGGGAGATAGTATAGCGTTCTGAACTGATGGGACGTGTGGCGCATACTGTCCTGCAGCATTATAGGAGTCAATGCAACTTGCGTTTTGACATCACACCTGACAAAGCCAATGCAACTTGTGCTGAAGTTGTTGCTGAAGGAGGAAGCTGCGATTCAATCAAAGTGAGGGGGAAGCAGTTTTTTCGTGCCTTTGGGCAATCATCACCCCGTTTTTCTGCATGTCGACCCTGTCAGCCGTACAGCCTGCTCAGAGCAAGAATCTGTCACCCGGGTCATGGATTGGGCTCTCTCAAGACACTGGCCTTTTGGCCCCCTTTCAAGGGGCCCCTGATTTTGGGAATCCCCCATAGGTATGAATCATATGAGGATTATGGCGATCCTCAGTAAGACTTATGTAGGGATCATTTTGAGAAATACCCAGCAAATGCTTGGACCAAGCACTTGCACAAGATTTGCGGATATTTGCTGCGGGTGGCGGGCGACGCACTTAATAATTAGAACCCCACAATAGATGTGGGGAACAATATTCACGATTAGCATAATAAGATGACTAAGAATGGCAATATAAAGAATTATATGCTTCTCAGAAGAGGTGCTTTTGCTCCAGAATCCAGCTTCCCCCTGGCTGGCTGTGCAGCTCTGGTCACTGCCACCTGTGGAAAGTACCCCATTCCAGAAACCCAGCGGGGACCATGGAACGCTTGCAGCCAGCATTTTGCTTGCAACTGGAATTCGAGGTGGCAAGCTCCTTATTCATCCATCTTCTTACACGTACTGTGCACACGTTGGTTCCATGATACCTCACACCAGGGCGAATGCATAGCATTCACCGATGCACATTGCATCGGAAGCTGCACATGCTGCTCATAGCAGCCTATCGCGCGACTAGAGGTCCTGAAACTGAGAAGATTGAGCCGAATACCCGTCCACAGTCAACGAAGTGATGACCTTGGCTGACCGGTCTGTCACGAGATCCGTTTCTTTTTTGCTCAAATCTGCAGTGCTTTCAAGGGCATTCATGTGCATGAGCCGCTGCACCCACACGTCAACATTGAGCTCCCCACTGAGTTTCATCCAAGTGTCCGCATCCTCAGCTAGCAAACATGCCGCTGGCTGGTCCTTGCCTGCTTTCTACTCGTGCTTAAGAGCAAGCAATGGCTAACCCCACACCTCACATCC